TATATATATATATATATATATATATATATATATACACACACATATATTCAGTTCAGTTAAACTAAGGACATATTAAAAAACAAAAGCCACAAGATGTTTCAATTTTCCTTCTTTTTGTCATATTTTAAATTGTTGCTGTTGAAAATGTACACAGCAAAACATATGCTAGTCCATGATTGTGAGGGTTGGAAATGTAAAGGTAGATATTTTGTAGCAAGCAGGGGAGTGAATAAATTTTAGTCTAGGAGCGGAGATCCCTGGGACCATCAAGGGAGAAGAGCAGAGAGCGGGACCCTACCCAGAGAAGCAGTGATGCCTGAAATGGAGCCAGAGATGATGATGTGGAGAGATGGAGCAGCTGGGGACTTTAGACACAGAGAGGGAGAGGGGCTGTGTGCTGATGACCGGGGGGCAGGCTTGTAGTGATACCCTTTGGTTGGTTAATGATAAATGGAGGGGATTGTAACCGTGGCAATGAAACGATACACGATAGGATGAATGCAAAACTAATGCTCTCCCATGTAAACTATGATGTAATTCACAATAAAACATTAAATATATATATATGCCAGTCCAACAATTTCAACATATCCAATTCAGCAACAAAGATTACTTGCTTCAAATTATGCAACCATTCTCAACCACCTTTTTGGAATTCTTCTTCTATCATTAACATGAACTCACTGTCCCCTACTTTTCTTCTCGAACCTTTTGAGTTGTTGTTTATAATTTGATTCCATCCAATCAAACCCAGCAAGCTTCTTAAAAGATGTTCATTTCTGCTATTACCTTACCCGCCATCTGCTGCTTAACCCAGCGTTCCACTTACACAGTTCTCTCCAGTGACAAATAACCTCACAGTCACCAGATTCTTTTGACCCTCATCCCCCTCCCCCTTGGACTTTCTACACTGGAGAGTGTTATTTCTATACCATTAAGTTGATTCTGATTCAGACTTATAGCAACCCTATATAGGGCTTCTGAGGCTTTAAATCTTTATGGCAGCAAAAAGCCCCAGCTTTCTCCCACCTAAGGGACTGGTGGGTTTGAACTGCTGACTTTGAGATTAGCAGTCCAGTGCTTATCCTACAGTGCCACCAGGGCTCATTGCTGTTGTTGGTTGTGTGCCATGGAATCCATCCTGACTCATAGCGACCCTGTACAGGGTTTCTGAGGCTGTAAATCTTAATGGGAGCAGAAAGCCTCTCTTTCTCCTGGAGAACAGCTGGTAGTTTCGAACTGCTGCCCTTGAGGTTAGCAACCCAACTTATAACCACTAGGCGACCAGAGCTCCTTTTCAGGGCTCCTTAGTACTCCTTTGTTGTTGTTGTTGTTGTTGTTGAGTGCAGCTTATCCCGTCATTATGCCTGTTTGGTTCCTCAGTGTCTAGGAGGTCCCCTGCCCTCTACTGGTGGCTCCATGTCCTTGCTGAAGAACAATAACAGAAGTTGTTGTTAAATGCCGTCAACTTGGTTCCGACCCATAGCGACCCTGTAGAGAGTTTCCAAGGAGCGACTGGTGAGCTTGAGCCACCAACCTCACAGTTCAAACTGACTTTGCAATTTAGCGCATTATCCCACAGTGCCAAGTTGTTGTTGTCAGGTACCATCAAGTCAGGATCGACTCATTGTGACCCCATGCACAGCAGAACGAAACAATGTCCGATCCTGGGCCAACCTCACTACCGCTGCCACACTTGAGTCCATCAATGATGCCACCTGGGGGTCTTCCTCTTTTTCTCTGACCCTCCATCTTACCCAGCATGACATCCATCTCCAGCGACTGTTCCCTCCTGACAATATGTCCAAAGTATGAGAGACAAAGCTTAGCCATCCTGGCCTCCAAGGAGCACTCTGGCTGCACGTCTTCCAAAACAGATCTATTGGTTCTTTTGGCAGCCCATGGCACTTTTAGTATTCTCCTCCAACACCACAACTCAAAGGCATCAATTCTTCTACTGTCTTCCTTATTCACTGTTCAGCTTTCGCATCCATATGAGGTTATTGAAAATACCATGGCTTGGGTCAGGCGCACCTTAGTCCTCAAGCTGACATTTCTGCTCTTCAACACTTTAAAAAGTTCCTGTGCAGCAGATTTGCCCAAATCAGACAAATACGTCATCTGATCTCTTGACTACTGCTTCCACGAGTGTTGATAGTTGATCCAAGAAGAATGAAGTCCTTGACGACTTCAATCTTTTCTCCATTGATAAGAATGTTGTTTATTGGTCCAGTGGTGAGAATTTTTGTTTTCCTGACATTGAGATGCAACCCATACCGAAGGCTGTGTTCTTTGATCTTCATCAGTAAATGTTTCAAGTTCTCTTCACTTTCAGCAAGCAAGGTTGTATCATCTGCATATCACAGGTTGTTAATGAGTCTTCCTCCAATCCTGATGCCACCCCAGCGCCAAGAGGAGTGGTTAAAGCCCAAGCCTCTCTCCTCTTTCCCATTTAGGAAGCCTATTCACGCTCAGAGTTTTAACTAATATCATCCAAGAGGTTGCATCTCATCTTTCCTCATCAGTGGTGGTGCTGTGGAGTTGGTTCAGACTCATAGCGACCCTGTACAGAGTTTCCAAGGATGTAAATCTTTACGGGAGCAGAAAGCCTCATCTTTCTCCTGAGGAACAGCTGGTAGTTTTGAACTGCTGACCTTGTGGTTTGCAGCCCAATTCATAACCACTACGCTACCAAAGCTCATTGATAACTCATTGCTAGAAAGAAAACAACATTCCATGAGCAAAAAGTATACTCAATTTTGTTTATATTTACTTTAGAAGGCTATTTCACATATATAGTTCATTTTTGTTTTGAAAAATTATAATAGCTACAAGGCAATATAGCATGTTAAGTTGTTAAGTGCCGTTGAGGTCATA